GTCCTACAGGTGCGCAGGGTATGGCCCTTGATATTGCTGTTGACTAGAGCGCCCTACCTTACTTGCTCTGTCCGCTTCCTGGGTCTTCACCGAGCGGGCGTCCCCGATTGATCATTCCCCAGTTGGCTCCAGCCTTCCGATCGGAGAAGAGCTGTAAGTAGAGGTTCAATGTACTCCCGGTCGGAGAAGCGAGTCGGAGTCAGAGGCGAGCGTCGTTCCTTCTCGGCCAGGCCTTCCAGTCGGAGAGGCGGGCCAGAGTCAGAGGTGACGGAAGCGAGCGTCGTTCCTCCTTGGCCAGGCCTTCCGATCGAAAAGGTGGGCCGGAGTTAGAAGCGAGCGTCGGAGTCGAAGGCAATCTGGCCAGGCCTTCCAGTCGAAAAGGCGGGCCGAAGTCAGCGGAAGCGTCAATCCTCCTCGGCCAGGCCTTCTAGTCGGAGAGGGGGCCGGAGTCGGAAGCGACGGAAGCGTCGTTCCTTCTTGGCCATGCCTTTTGGTCAGAGAGACGGCCCATAGTCGGAAGCAAGTGCCGGTCCTCCTCGGCCAGGCCTTCCAGTCGAAGAGGCGGGCCGGAGTCAGAAGCGATGGAAGCGTCGTTCCTTCTTGGCCAGGCCTTCCGGTCAGAGAGGCGGCCCGGAGTCAGAAGCGAGCGTCGTTCTTTCTTGGCCAGGCCTTTCAGTCGGAGAGGCGGGCCAGAGTCAGAAGCGATAGAAGCGCCGTTCCTTCATGGCCAGGCCTTCCAGTCGGAGAGGTGGCCCAGAGTCGGAAGCGAGTGCCGTTCCTTCTTGGCCAGGCCTTCCGGTCGAAGACTGCATCGCCCTCCTGCCCTGTCGTTAGGTTTTTGGGCCAGCCCAGGAGTTGCGCGTCGTTCGCAATGTCGTCTGCTAGGTCGAGCTTTTGCTGGGAAGCAGGTCCATGAGGGACCCCGGGTTTATGAACCCGACAAGATTGTTTATACAACAACACATCATTTTGGCTTTTCATCAAATACCTGTAGGATAACCCATTTCCTGTCCAACACTTAGCAAACGGGTTAGACATTTAATCACGTTGTCATTCAATCATCCAAAACCCATTAAAAGACTTGATGCACTTTCATCACTCAACTCGTTTGTCTAACTTGTCTCAGTACATTGTCTTTTTTTAATAAGCCAAGCTAGAGTTTCAGCTAGTTACCTACAAAAAGCTCACGAGCTGAGCGAGTGTTGATGGCCACTATTGTAACATTTTGACCATCAACATTTGGTTATAGAGAGACAAGGCTAAATTATATGTACAATTTTATTTCAACTAATAAAGCGTCACCTTGTTTTGGTTAATGTTTATATGCAGGATCATTATCACAAAAACTAGGTAAAATTGTCCCACAAGGGGGTCGTTGGCCCTACTTAAAAGTGCATCTAGGCCTTCTAGTTGGTTTTGGTGGTTGAATGACAAAAAATAGAGAATTGATGAGTTTTGGATATGTTTCATTGTAAATGATCATATCAAACTCATGCCATATTTCAAGTGAATAAAAGCCAAGTAAATTGATAAAACAAAATGAGACAAAAGAAATGGATATGGTTTAGTCTTAGTTATGGATTGCTTGTATGAATGAGAAGAGACCGCTAGTTGATTATTAGTTGAAGTAAAATCAATAGTGCACAAGTGAAGAAATAGCAAACAATGCTAGATAAAAGAAGGCATGGGTCGATGGAATGGCATTATTGATCAAAATGAAAAGTACAAGTGAAAGAGAGAGAAAAAGACGTGATTAGTTGCATATGAGTTGATCTCAAGTGTATGGCTTGCCAATTAGATCAAGAATATTGATAATGAATTTCATACTGATAAAAAAAGAAGATGATTTTTTAAACAAAGGCGTATTTGATACATGCAATGTTTGACTTGAGGAATGCTAAATAAGGCGAAGGTAGAAAGGAAATAGTTTGAACTAAGCGAGGATGAAGGCAAGCGATGACTTGGCAACCGAGGTGTCATGGCTAGGCCAAATAAGCAAGTACTTGTGTTGATCCTAATCAAGCCATGAGAAGTCATACAACATCAAGTATCAAATCACTATTGGACCAAAAGTCATAGTGTCTTGAAGCTATGTATTGAACTCTTATGTGGTAGAGTTAGTTCAAATCATAAGTTGAGGGAGGATTTGCTCAAGGATTGAGATAAAGTTCATTGCAACCCGTGTGAAGACATATTGTGAAGAAATGGTATAGGAAGAGTTTTGCAAACTCAAGAGGTTGGAATAGATTCTATCTCTAGTCTTGAGTATAGGGATGTTATACTATTATAAGAATGCAACATTGAGTGCATTGACACATCTCGGTGCTCAATTTAACCAAACCTAAGTGCTAACTTATGAGAAACACTTGCACATAGTGGTATTGAAGCTTGTTTTTAGTTGTGATGGATAATCCTCTAACGAGCTTTTGATAGAGTATATGATTATCAAAATTGAAGTTTGAAGTGAAAAGTTATGGAGCGAGATTTTAAAAACGGTTGAAGAAATCTAACAAACGTGCTTTTAATTTTTTTATCCACTTGAAAAAATCATTAATTTAGGTTTATCAATTGTCTTTTGGAACTTTTTTTTACAACAATCTTTTTAAACTATTGGAGATGATCTAACGCTTGCGTGAGTAGCTATGAAAAAAAGGCTTTGATACCTTGGCCGTTACAAACAGGAGCTCCGCGCTGCGTGGTCAATTCTCAGCTGGCCCGTCACCTTTGCCGACTAGTGTGAAGGTGTACGCGGGCCTTGTTGAGATCGTAAATTTTCTTTCCTTGATAATACGCAGGATTTAACCAAACTTAAAAGATTACGATTTACATATAATTAGTTATTTTTTACGCTATATTTAATAATACTATATATCGTTCAAAAAATTAATATGGCCCGAATTTAAAGGTGAGACCCAAGCATCCTCCAAGGCCCGAGCCACGTGGGTCACGCGAACCGACCCTCTCCGTTCCGGCACGCCACCAAGACACACGCAACAAAAAGGAGATCTCAACAAAAAGCAGACTTGCTCTCTCGTCGCCACCAGCAGATCCATCCCCTCCCTCGCCTTTACCCTCGAGCACGGCGGCGCCCTCGCCCTGCTCTCTCGTCCGGCCAAGCTCCTCCTACCGGGCGCCATGAACCCCTACGACCTCCGCTTCGCCGACCCCTCATCCTACCACGACAGGCGCAGGTACGCCAACCCTAATTCTAGCTCTTCCGATCTGATTTGAATTCGAACTTGACTCGATCGATTTGATTTCCCGTGCAGCGACCTGGCCGTGGCTCCTACGTTCGCTCCGCCGGCTACCGTGGCTGCGGTGAACCCGAACCCTTACGCCACCGCCTACCCGCCCGTGCCCGTGCCCGTGCCTGTGCCTGTGCCCGTGCCCGTGCCCGCGGCCCCCGCGGGCGGCGACTACCAGCGCTACGGGCAGGGCGGCAGAGGCCGTGGTGGAGGCGGCAGAGGAGGTGGAGGCGGCTATGGAGGTGGCGGTGGGTATGGAGGTGGCGGTGGTGGGTATGGAGGTGGCGGCAGAGGAGGAGGTCGCGGGAGGGACGGGCTTGACTCGCTCGCCCTCCCTAAGCCGGACTTCCGGAGCCTGATACCGTTCGAGAAGAACTTCTACGTGGAGTGTCCCTCCGTCCAGGATATGTCGGAGGCGGATGTGGTGCAGTACCGCCGCCTCCGGGATATCACCGTAGAGGGCCGGGATGTGCCCAAGCCGGTCCGATACTTCCAGGAAGCCAACTTCCCAGGTTTACTCTAGTTCCAGTGTTTCCTGTCCGTGTGTCCGTTGATAGTAACGCAATACTAACCTTATACTACTGTTTCACGATTCCTTTGACAGATTACTGCATGCAAGCCATTGCCAAATCTGGATTTGTGGAGCCAACTCCTATTCAATCTCAAGGTTGGCCTATGGCTTTGAAGGGTAGGGACCTGATTGGTATCGCTCAAACAGGCTCAGGGAAAACATTATCTTATCTGCTACCTGGGTTGGTTCATGTTGGTGCCCAGCCTCGGCTAGGTTTGTTTCCTATAAACTTGCTATGAGCTTTCTGTATGTGGTTTCTGACTGTCTCCATTCCCCTTCTCATAATTCGTGATTGTAATGCATGTAGAACAAGGCGATGGCCCAATAGTATTAATCCTCGCCCCCACAAGAGAACTGGCTGTTCAAATACAGGAAGAATCTACAAAATTTGGATCATATTCAAGAACTAAAAGCACATGTGTCTATGGTGGTGCACCTAAGGGTCCACAAATACGTGACCTTAGAAGAGGTACCTGCACACTTCTGTCCAGTTCAAGATGAATGCCTTTTTAAACTCAATGCATTCTATCATCTGCACTTTTAGGAGTTGAAATTGTCATTGCAACTCCTGGTCGGTTGATTGATATGCTGGAAGCCGGCCACACGAACCTACGTAGAGTGACATACCTTGTGCTGGATGAGGCAGACCGGATGCTAGATATGGGATTTGAGCCCCAAATTCGAAAAATAGTTGCACAGGTACAGTTTGGTTTAGAAATGCAGAATACTTATTAATAGCTATCGTCTTGCCTGGCTCTAATGCTTGTCCAACACTTCTGCTATCCTTAGATTCGCCCAGATAGGCAAACCTTGTACTGGAGTGCCACTTGGCCTAAAGAAGTTGAAGCCTTAGCAAGACAGTTTCTGCAAAATCCTTACAAGGTGCATGATTGGTGCTGTTATTGTTATTTTCTGGTTCTTTGACAGTGTTGTATTGAATTGATTTTGACAGCCCTTTTCTTAACTGTTGGCATTATATTGTAATGCAGGCAATCATAGGATCACCTGAACTTAAAGCTAATCATTCCATACAACAAATTGTTGAAGTTATTTCAGATCATGAGAAGTATCCAAGGTATGTATGGTTGACACTGTTGTGACTAAAAACTCTTATGTTCACTCACTATACTACTATTGATTACAAATGGACATGGTGTGAGTTGATTTTCACCTCTTTCCCACAGACTCAGTAAGCTCTTGTCTGATCTAATGGATGGGAGCCGTATCTTGATATTCTTCCAAACAAAAAAGGACTGCGATAAGATCACACGGCAACTTAGAATGGATGGGTGGCCAGCATTATCTATACATGGTGATAAAGCTCAAGCTGAACGGGACTATGTTCTTGCAGGGTTTAAGAGTGGCAAGAGTCCCATAATGGCTGCCACAGATGTGGCAGCACGTGGTCTTGGTATGATGATTTATTTGAATATTAGGATTAGGTAGTAGTTCCAAGTGCTCAAGGATGATAAGTCGGAGGGCTGTTCAGCTGCGTTTGGTTGAGTGAACTGAACTTGTGGATTGGTGGTGTATACCAAGGTGCCATCATGTCAAAGGTAGATCATTTTTCCCCGTGGTTTGCCTCATTTGAGCGTGAGCATTGGCAGTGTTACCAGGCACTTCAACTTTGAGCTATCATTGGTAACGTTCACTTTCCTAGTTAGCCCTACGTTTGGATAAAATGGATATCCTGAAAAGGTAGCATCCAAATGAATATGCATTTGGTACTTTATATCTGATTTCTTAACTTGATTTGAATTCCTTAATCCATGCATCTCTGACCATTTAGGAACATTTAGGTATTGTGTAGATGCCTCTTCATTGTTTCTTTGCCCTTGCCATTGAATTCGTTCCAATCCAATAGTCTGCTTTTCTTGCAAGTATTTTTTGGCTTACCTCTCTACATTTCTTTATAAATACACGTTTAATTCGTTTAGAATTGATGAGAGCAATGCTTTTTTCTTTGCAGATGTATTGCAAAATTTTAGGCATAAAAACCTGTGTATAAAAATGGCAATACTAATTTCAAATTTTTTTTTGCACAATGCACATCCTTAACAAGTAGCACGTATGTATGGATCTCCTTTGCTTTCCCCTAGCTTTACATGAACCTTTAGAAGCTCGTTCTACTTTCTCAATCAAGTGCCTCATCATTGGTATCACTGCCAAGTGCGAACTGGGCAAAAGATGGTTGTAATCAGCGTTCTTTTCAGTGGATTCACGATAGTGACCTCTGATGCAGCACCTTAATCATTACAGCCTATGTTGGACTGGCATGTTTTACAGAATTTTGGTTGGGTTATGGATATTGGATGCTGTTACATTATTGGATATAAGTGGTTACCCAGGTATGCCAGTTGCAGTCTTCAACATTTTCTGATAAAGGCTGAGAGGTTAATCACCATCAATTCCACATCCAGCAGTGATTGATGCCCGGTTCAGTTTTTCAGCTCCTTCGACTTGTGTTTTAGAATTCGAAAGTCAGCACTGGATTTTTTTGGTGCTTGTCTGAACCATATACTGCCTTCTATGGAGATCGACAATGTTGATGTTCCAGTGTGGTCCAGCATGGTATTCAGGACAACACATCAACTTTGATTAAGTACTAATGATATTTGTTGATTTTGCAGATGTGAAGGACATAAAGTGTGTGATAAATTATGATTTTCCAACAACTCTTGAAGATTATATTCACAGGATAGGTCGAACTGGCCGTGCTGGTGCTAGCGGAACTGCATTTACTTTTTTCACACATGCAAATGCTAAGTTCTCAAGGAATCTAGTGAAGATTCTGCGGGAAGCTGGCCAAGTTGTGAATCCTGCACTCGAGTCCATGTCCAAGTCATCAAACTCAGGGGGAGGAGGTAATTATGAACTTTACAGTTTATTTATTCATCGAGAACAGTATTGCATGTTCCGGGCTCATATCTGGCTTCACCTGTATTATTAACTTATGTGTGGGTTTTGTTTCCAGGCAATTTCCGGTATAGAGGCAGAGGTGGGTTTGGTAACCGGGGTCATATGTCTGGATCAAATACCTTTACTTTAGGTGGAAGAAGGCCATATTGATAGGTGGGTTTGGTAACCGGGGTCAATTTTCGCTACAGTACCTGGAGCTATGAAGCTTCTCACGTGAAAGATCAAAATTTATCAACTACCTAGCAACAGCATATGCATTCAATTCAGATATTTCTTTTGGAAGGACCCTTTGTCTTGTTTAGTCCCTGTGGTCGCGTTTAAAGTCGGCTGTATACTTGTACCGAACTTTGGTGTTACTGAGCAAATGGATTTTTGGTTGCCCTCAGTTGGTGTGCGGTGTCATTGAACAAAATGGATTTCTTGGTCTTCTCTTTACTGTTCTGATATTGTGGGAGGTTAACGCCATCTTGGACTGTAAGTTCATGGCGAATTTTGTAAACGGTGTTTTTCATGTTTAGATAAATACACAGGCAGGCGCACAGCTCTTCACTAAATGATCTGGTCCGGCTTCAATTCAATGAACATGATTTTCCTAGTATTAATAATTGAATAGCCTCTCAAAATAAAAACGAAAACCATACAGAAACTGGACGTGGAAGTTCGGCCTCCACATCCTTGAAAAAATCCTCCATATTCTTGAGAAAACCCAAAAAGAGGAGAGAAGAAACAAGTCCATCTACCTCCTTGAACTATTGCCGTTAGTCTATTATTTCTCCTCAGACCCTATAACCAGACATTTTACCCGTTAAATTCTAAAAATGTTCAAATTATCTTTCTATCTAGATTTAGAGTGGTTTTGAAGGCAGTTTAGTTATTTTTTAGTTAATAAAAAACCATAATACTTGATAAAGTTTTAAAACCACATATCCTATTTTATCTCTAGATTTTTAAAAGCTTGGAAACATGTTCTATGGTTTAAAAATCTTATCAAGTATTAATTGATTTTTAACTAAAAAGGTGATAAAACGATCTTCAAAACCATTCTAAACCAGGTCAAAGAGGAAATATGCATGGTTTTGAGAGTTCAAGGGATGAGGATAAGATATCTGGTTTTGAAATTCGAAGGGTAAAATCAAAGCGGCGATAGTTTTTTTTTTTTTTAGAATTATACAGTAGAACATAGACGTCCACAGACACGCACACACACTCACCCCTATGAACACACGTACGCATATCGTACCCCTATGAGCACCTTCGAAGGACTGCGCCGGCAGATCTTGAAATTCACGAAATCATCACAGGCGCCTCACTGTCGATGGGAACGTCGCCTACCACTGAAAGCATAGCGCCGTTAAATCATGGAATAAATCCAGGAAAATATGAGCACCCGTGCCAAGTCGATGACTTACGTGGGGGCAGGTTCCACTACACGGAGCCTAACCAGCTGATCTATCATCAGTTTGCAAGCGGCGATAGTCTTAGAAAGAAGTGCAGTCAAATTTCTTTGTAAAAAACCCATAAAAATGATATGTCAATGAAACCTGCCCTGTTTGGCTGGTATTAAAGCCGGCTGATAAGCCGGCTAAAGCTGTTTTGATATGAGAGAAAAATACTATATATTCTAACTGATAAACCAGCTGATAAGTTTAAGCAAACAGGCGGCTCACCTCTGAGGACAACCCAACATTGCAGGGCAGCCTGCCAACCCACCCCTCTGCCCAGCCAGGCACCAGCCTTGCCAATTTTCCAGTATCCTATCCTATCTTATTTTATACTCTTATATTATATTGCTCGTGCTAATATGGATGAAAACGGTACGGATATTTATTCGACCGTCCGTTCGACCGAACAAATATGAATACTTATGTGGATAGTTACTCGAATATCCGTAATTTTTTTCGGATACGGATAATAAAACGGATATCTTAGGCGGTTATCAAATACGGATGTAATATCATCGATATCCGGCGGATATCGGATAATCCGGTTAAGTATCGGATATATCCGGATATTTTCAAACGGATATTATCCGGATATTATTCAAACGACCTTGGATGGAGAAATGATCAAAATAAAAATTGTAGATCTTAAAAAGTTATGAAACTTTGTTGTTTACAACTTTTTCGTTTGAAATCATTTAGTGCTTCAAAATTTAAACCGTCCAAACTTTCTCAAATGGAAAACTAGTTTATAGGCGTCAAAATTTAAAAATCACAAATTTGAACCATCCAAACTTTCTCAAATGGAAAGTTGACCAAAACAACAATTGTAGATTTTGATGAGTTGAACAAACTTGGTATTCAAAACTTTTCAATTTGAAGTCATTTAGAGTTCATAATACTAGAGTCAAAGTGTTGTTTTTTCATTTGACCAAATTTGACTTGGTCAAACTTGCTCAAATGAGACACTAAATGACCTCAGATGAAAAACTCTTAATACCAAGTTTGATCATCTCAGCAAGATCTACAATTGTTACATAGCTCATTTTTCCATTTGAGAAAGTTTTATCAAACACTAGTTACAAATTCTTAAATCTCATATAGACTTTCTGAAACTATGTCACACACTTATGAAATTTAAACTATATATTGTTCAAACTTTCTCAAATGAAAAAATAGCCTATATAAGGATTGTAGATCTTGATGAGATGAACAAACTAGGTATTCAAAACTTTTCAATTTGATACAATCTAGGGTTCCGAAAACTAGTTTGTAAGCATCGAAATTTAAAAATCACAAATTTGAACCGTCCAAACTATCTCAAATGGAAAGTTGACCAAAACAATAATTGTAGATCTTGATGAGTGGAACAAACTTGGTATTCAAAACTTTTCAATTTGAAGTCATTTAGAGTTCATAATAGTAGAGTCAAAGTGTTGTTTTTTCATTTGACCAAATTTGACTTGGTCAAACTTGCTCAAATGAGACACTAAATGACCTAAGATGAAAAAACTCTGAATACCAAGTTTGATCATCTCAGCAAGATCTACAATTGTTACATAGATCATTTTCCCATTTGAGAAAGTTTTATCAAACACTAATCACAACTTCTTGAATCTCATATAGACTTTCTGAAACTATGTCACACACTTATGAAATTTGAACTATATTTTATTCAAACTTTCTCAAATGAAAAAATGACCTATATAAGGATTGTAGATCTTGATGAGCTGAACAAACTTGGTATTCAAAACTTTTCAATTTGAGACAATCTAGAGTTCCGAAAACTAGTTTGTAAGCATCGAAATTTAAAAATCACAAATTTGAACTGTCCAAACTATCTCAAATGGAAAGTTGACCAAAACAACAATTATAGATCTTGATGAGTTGAACAAACTTGGTATTCAAAACTTTTCAATTTGAAGTCATTTATAGTTCATAATAGTAGAGTCAAAGTGTTGTTTTTTTATTTGACCAAATTTGACTTGGTCAAACTTGCTCAAATGAGACACTAAATGACCTAAGATGAAAAAACTCTGAATACCAAGTTTGATCATCTCAGCAAGATCTACAATTGTTACATAGCTCATTTTCCTATTTGAGAAAGTTTTATCAAACACTAGTCACAACTTATTGAATCTCAGACTTTCTGAAACTATGTCACACACTTATGAAATTTGAACTATATTTTATTCAAACTTTCTCAAATGAAAAAATAACCTATATAAGGATTGTATATCTTGATGAGCTGAACAAACTTGGTATTCAAAACTTTTCAATTTGAGACAATCTAGAGTTCCGAAACTAGTTTGTAAGCATCGAAATTTAAAAATCACAATTTTGAACCGTCCAAACTATCTCAAATGGAAAGTTGATCAAAACAACAATTGTAGATCTTGATGAGTTGAACAAACTTGGTATTCAAAACTTTTCAATTTGAAGTCATTTAGAGTTCATAATACTAGAGTCAAAGTGTTGTTTTTTCATTTGACCAAATTTGACTTGGTCAAACTTGCTCAAATGAGACACTAAATGACCTCAGATGAAAAACTCTGAATACTAAGTTTGATCATCTCAGCAAGATCTACAATTGTTACATAGCTCATTTTCCCATTTGAGAAAGTTTTATCAAACACTAGTCACAAATTCTTGAATCTCATATAGACTTTTTAAAACTATGTCACACACTTGTGAAATTTGAACTATATTTTATTCAAACTTTCTCAAATGAAAAAATGGCCTATATAAGGATTGTAGATCTTGAATCCATGACCATGACTCCATGAGACCCATGAAGCCATGAGCTTGGCTATTTCTACTCATGCCACGAAGATTGGTGCTTGTATGATGTTTGATGTATGATGTATCTGTATCTTTATCTTATTTGTTGCTTTACTCTTTAGTCTTTCGGCTTAATCTAGATGGATTATGGACTCATAGAGTGGTGTAATGGTTTGCGCACGTATATATATATATATGTGTGTGTGTGTGCTGCTTTTACTCAATATCCGAATAGATATTTGTATCCGACCTTCTTTGAATCCGATTCATACCGTATTCGATACTCATTATTCGTATCCGTAACCGAGTCAATCCGTATTCGTATATGTATCCGAACGCTATCCGTGTCCGAATCCGAACAGAAATATGAAAACAAATACAATATGAGTGATATCTGTTCGTATCCGATCCGTTTTCATCCCTAGTGCTAATGCTACGGTGGCATCTAAAACAAAGTCATAAAACTAAAATATAAATCAACTGATGACGTAATCAACGTATAAATGTGCAAAAATAAGTCATAAAACTAAAATATAAATCAACTGATGACGTAATCAGCGTATAAATGTGCAACAAATAACTTGTGGCACGGCCCTTATGCAAAAAAGAAAAAAGCTGACGTTCTGCAAGTCGAAAATTTTGTCTGAAATGTTAGCTTTTGCTGGCCGGGGGCTACTACAAGACATAACTTTTGCAACAAATACTTGTTTGAGAATGCACCCACCATCTTGAACTTATGTTTTGTTTAAATCTAGGGTGTAAAGTTTTAGGGTGTCACATCGGGTGTTACACGAGGATGTCGCATGGGGTGTTCGGATACTAATAAAAAAATAAATTACAGAATCCATCAGTAAACCGCGAGACGAATTTATTAAGCCTAATTAATCCATCATTAGCATATGTGTACTGTAGCACCATGTTATCAAATCA